AATTTGGAGGGAGGTTTCAGGGCCCAATGGTGAAAAGTCTTGTAATTCTAGTAGATACATCTCGGGGCCATATAATGCCGTTTGGAATCATATATGTTCATTATTTGTTAACTTAAATGTTCGTGGTAGATTTGATTTAATGAAATTGGTGCAAGTTATAAACCGGTAAATTAGTCGTTTAAAGGCAAATTGGATGGTTCCACTCAATTAATTGGACGGTTCCACCCAGTTAATTGGACTCCCAAAGGGTATTCGGGATCATGGTAAATATTTCGGTAATTTTAATTTCTGGGCAAAAAAAAAAGTCAAAAAATTTTAGAATTGAAGGCTAATATCCACACTTTTTAATAAATTTTGAAGGTTTCGGGGTCCGGTGTCGAAAAGTCTTGAAATTGTAGGGGATAAATTTTGGGGTCATATAATGCCGTTTGGAACAGTATATGATCATTATATGTTGTTATAAATGTTCGTGATAGGCTTGAGTTAATAAAATTGGTGCAAGTTGTACACCGGTAAATTGGTCGTTTAAAGGCAAATTTGATGGTTTCACCCACGCAATTGGACTCCCGGCGGGTATAAGCGACCATGGTTAACATTTCAGCAATTTTTATTTCCAAGCGAAGAAAAGTAAAAAAAATTCCAAAATTTAAGGCTAATAATGACGCTTTTGTTGAAATTTTAAAGGTTTTGGGGCCTAGTGTCGAAAAAGCCTTTAGATTTAGGGGACAAATCTCAGGGTCATATAATGTCGTTTGAAACCATGTATGATCATTATATGTTGTCATAAATGTTCGTATTAGGCTTAAGTCAATTAAATTGGTGCAAGTTGTAAATCGTTAAATTGGTTGTTTAAAGGCAAATAGGATGGTTCCATCCACCCTACTGATCTTCTAAAGGGTATTAAGGACCATGGTAAAAATTTTGGCAATTTTTATTTCCGGGCGAAAAAAAGTCTAAAAATTCCAAAATTGAAGGCTAATCTCCACGCTTTTTGAGAAATTTTGGAAGCTTCGTGGTCTGGTGTCAAAAAATCTTGAAATTCCATGAGAAACATCTCGGGCTCATTTAATATCGTTTGGAACCATATATGATCATTATTTATTGTCAAAAATATTCGTGGTAGGCTTGAATTAATGAAAATCCGTGCAACTTGTAAACCGGTAAATTTCCCGTTTAAAGGCAAATTGGATGGTTCCACCAACCCAATTGTACTCACGGAGGATGTTAAGGACCATGGTAAACATTTCAACAATTTTTATTTTCGGGGGAAAAAAAGTAAAAAAATTCCAAAATTGAAGGCTAATATCCACGCTTTTTGAGAAATTTTGGAGGTTTCGGGGCCCGGTGTCAAAAAGTCTTGATGTTCTAGGGGATACATATCGGGGTGATATAATGCCGTTTGGAACCATATATTATCATTATTTGTTGTCATAAATGTTCGTGATAGCTTGAATTAATGAAATCTGTGCAAGTTGTAAACCGGTAAACTGCCCGTTTAAAGGCGAATTAAATGGTTCCACCAACCCAATTGGACTTCCGGAGGATATTAGGGACCAGGGTAAACATTTTGGCAATTTTTATTTCCGGGCGAAAAAAAGTAAAAAAATTCCAAAATTGAAGGCTAATATCCACGCTTTTTGAGAAATTTTTTAGGATTTGGGGCCCAGTGTCGAAAAGTCTTGAAATTCTAGGGGATACATCTCGGGGTCATATAATGCCGTTTGAAATCATATATGATCATTATTTGTTGTCATAAATGTTCGTGGTAGGCTTGAATTAATGAAATCCGTGCAAGTTGTAAACCGATAAATTGCCCGTTTAAAGGTGAATTAGATGGTTCCACCAACCCAATTGGAATTCTTGAGGATATTAGAGACCATGGTAAACATTTAGGCAATTTTTATTTCCGGGCGAAAAAAGTCCAAAAAATCCAAAATTAAAAGCTAATATCCACGTTTTTTTGAGAAATTTTGGAGGATTTGAGGCCGAGTGTCGAAAAGTTTTGAAATTCTAGGGAATACATCTCGGGGTCATATAATGTCGTTTGGAACCATATATGATCATTGTTTGTTGTCATAAATGTTCGTGGTAGGCTTGAATTAATCAAAATCCGTGCAATTTGTAAACCGATAAATTGTCCGTTTAAAGGCGAATTAGATGGTTCCACCAATCCAATTGGACTCCTGAAGGAAATTATGGACCATGGTAAACATTTCGGAAAATTTTTTTCCTGGCGAAAAAAGTCAAAAATTTCCAAAATTAAAGGCTTATATCCACGCTTTTTGAGAAATTTTGGAGGTTTCAGATCCCGGTGTCGAAAAGTCTTGAAATCCTAGGGGATACATCTTGAGGTCATATAACGCCGTTTGGAATCACATATGATCATTATTTGTTGCCATAAATGTTCGTGGTAGGCTTGTGTCAATGAAATCCGTGCAAGTTGTAAAGCGGTAAATTTGTCGTTTAAAGGCAAATTGGATGGTTCCACCCACCCAATTGGACTCCCGGAAGGTATTAGGGACCATGGTAAATATTTCGACAATTTTTATATTCGGGCGAAAAAAAGTCAAAAAATTCCAAAATTGAAGGCTAATTATCCATGCTTTTTGAGAAATTTCGAATGTTTCAGGGCCCGGGGTCGAAAGGTATTGAGATTTTAGGGGATACATCTCCGGGTCATATAATGCTGTTTGGAACCATATATGATCATTATATGTTGTCATAAATATTCGTGGTAGGGTTGAGTTAATGAAATCGGTGCAAGTTGTAAACCGGTAAATTAGTCGTTTGAAGGCAAATTGGATGATTCCACCTAGCCAATTGGACTCACGAAGGGTATTACGGACCATGGTAAACATTTCGACAATTTTTATTTCCGGGTGTAAAAATGTAAAAAAAAATCCAAAATTAAAGGCTAATATCCACGTTTTTTGAGAAATTTTGGAGGTTTTGGACTATTACTTTCTACTTTTTTTTTAAAAAAAAAACCTTTCTAAATGGTACATGCTCTACAAAATTGTTATCCCAAAACTAGCCCATAAAATTGGATTATAGTCTATAGTCTTAAACAATTTTCAATTTTTTTTTGAGCCGGAAAAGGAAAAGTGTGGGTTTTGGAGACGCCTTAGGAGTCCATTTGTGTAATTTAAATGGTTGACTTTTCCTTAAACTACTATTTTACTAGTTTATAACTTACGCCCATTTTATTAAATATAGGCTACCTTTGAACTTCATATGATTGACTACTTGACTAGTGGTCATAGAAGATTTCAACCATACTTATATGACTTTGATATGCATACCCTACAATCTTTAAAATTTTCGACACCAAATCTCGAAATTTCTAAATTGGTCAAAGAGCATGAATTATAGCCTTTAATTTAGTTAAATTTTAGACTTTTCCGGACCCATAAAGAATTGTGGTCAAGGTTCTTCCCATGAACGCTACAACACCCCTAGAGGCTAATTGGGTGGTTGGAACTATACTTTGCCTTTAAACCGTTGATTTAGCTATTTATGTACACACCTAACTTAATTAAAGCAAAGTCACCATGGGGCTTTATGTGACCGACTATTAATTGTATATGGTTCTAAACAATATTATATGACCCCGAAATACATCCCCTATAGTCTTGTGATTTTTTGACACTAGGTCCCGAATCCTCTAAAACTAATTCAAAAGCATGCATTACAGCCTTCGATTTTAATGATTTTGGAATTTTTAGAACCGAAAAGGAAATAAGTCAAGATGTTTCCCACGGACCCCTCAAACACCTTGGGAGCCATTTGAGTGGTTCAAACTTACCTGTTTTTCGTTAAATAGTAAATCTAGTCATTTTCCTACAAACCTCACTTAAGTAACTGAGGCCATCACGGCTCTTTAAATGACCGATTGTGGTCATATATGCGTTCAAACAACATAATATGACCCTAGGATGTGTGTTCCCTATGATTTCATGAGTTTTCAACACCAAGTTTTGAAACATCTACCCAAAATTTGTTTGATTTCATGTATTAATAATATTATAACCTTCAAATTTGGATTTTAGAGTGTAATTTTTGACCTGACAAAATTAAGCATCAAGGTACTTCCATTTCTTCCTATAGGGTCTGGAAATCCTAGCTACTTAGTGCTTTGAACCATCTAAGATTTGGTTTATACTAATATTAGCACTACATTATCCAGTAGTTGAGACTTGAGAAAAAAAAAACAAGTCATTTATATAAATCTAAATGCAATCAGAATTAAAATGATGCAAGCCAAAAAATAAATAAATTACATATTCATTTCGCATGAACGAATTTACGGAGTATTTTATATAAACTATTATCTGATATGATTCAAGCCAAGTAGTCTCGACTCTGGATCTGTAACCAATTGTAGACCAGCCTATTGTCCTATATAGCTGGTAAATGGTAATTAACAAAATTTTCATTTCTATATTTGCTCGAAGTCAGGCATAAAATTGACCACATCTATAGCCAACTAGCCATTGTAAACTATGGACTTTTAGCCCATAAGTGAAGTTGGATCATGTTATACATGAACATCATCTTTAATCCTGAATTTTGATTGGGCCTCTTTAATAAACTCAATAGGATTCTTTTCCTGTTTTTGGAATTCTTTGTTGGCCAATTGTACTTCTTACTCCCCACTTTTTGGAATTGGCCTTTCCTTTGATCTTAAGAGGCAAGTGATTATGGTACTAATGGAATATACAGTATAAATCAACGTATCATCATGCTACAAAAAAAATTATTCCTCACTTTTTAAAATTAGATTACATTGTATAGATTCTATTATAGATTGAAACATTGATCTCGAATTTATCGAAAGACTTGGTTAATAGTACTAATGATTTTCTAACGGCATTTCTCATAACTCAAAATCAAGCTTATTTAATGGAGTTGGTCGAAAACTCACCTAATCTTCTAGTGACTAATTTTGTTGCCATTTGCTTAACATTGACATAATGCATGATCTATTGATCTAGCAATTTATTATTGACAATTAATAATTGCATATTTTCCTCCAAAGAAAAGAAAAGAAAAGAAAAAAAAAAATCGAATCTTTTAACGACTTGCGATATTTTCTTGTCACCAATTCACAAAGATCAGGCCTTTCCAAGTGTTGATGTCTGAACTACAATTCTACAACAACTACTCCGTCGTATTATTGGAATTCAATTTTGAGGGTTTAGGGTTTCATTCCGTCTACCTTCCTTCGCTTCTTACCACTTCACTCCAGGTACATACTCTCTTCTCTCTCCACGACTCCATTAATTAGTTATTCATCATATTAAATTGAAATAATCCATCTTTATTTCATGTGGGTTTTAATTACCTGTATCAAATCATTAATCAAACAAATTTCTGGAAAAAGAAAGCTAATTTAGAAATCATATGCAGGTTTGATTTAATGGGTGTGATTGATTTTTGCACTACTTCTTCTGCTTGCTTGATTAAGTCAAGAAGTTTTGGTCAACCCAGTTGTGGATTTGAGGTGAATTTTCAGAGAAGGGTAATTTCAATGGCATCTACATTACCTGTTAAAGAAGTGAGTGAAAATGGCCAACCAAAGGTTACTGGGGATTCTTTTATCAGACCCCATCTCAGGAAATTATCTGCTTACCAACCCATTTTACCTTTTGAGGTAAAAAATTTCACTTATTATTCTGTTTTGATAGTTTCTTGATTTTGATGATATGTGAATATGTGATGTTCAATTGATTAGTTAGATGATTATAGAATTAGAGCTTATTGTGTTTGATTTTATGTATATATGTTGAAATTTATTTTAATTTGATTGGTATTGAGTTTTTTTTCTGATGAGGTTGGAAGTGTATAATCTGTTATTAACAATGTAGCTACAATTGTAATTAGTTTAATTATGTAGTCACTTGAGTGCATTGGTGATAGGTTTTATCAACACGGCTCGGTAGGAAGCCTGAGGATATCATTAAATTGGATGCAAATGAGAACCCATACGGTCCACCTCCGGAGGCAAGTTATGCAAAAATGAGTTTTACTTTTGCTGGTTGTCTGCACTGGGGTCTTTAAATTTATTTTTCTGTTTATAGCAAAAGTTCATTCCCTTTACAAGTTAGATTGTTCTCTAGGTGTCTGAAGCTCTGGGGAACATGAAATTTCCGTACATATATCCTGATCCAGAAAGTCGAAGGTTACGTGCTGCCCTTGCAGAAGACTCGGGCCTTGAATCTGAATACATTCTTGTAGGATGTGGTGCCGATGAGCTCATTGACCTGATCATGCGGTTAGAGATCATAACTCTGTCCCCTGCTTCTGTTGCTATAGTTTCAGTGTATCTTATCATTTGTTCTGAATGATCATGTAGCTCAGTTGTGTGCTAGAACCCGGTGACAAAATTGTTGACTGTCCACCGACATTTACAATGTATGAATTTGATGCAAATGTGAATGGAGCTGTTGTCCTAAAGGGTAGGTGGAATGATCTTGCTCCATGATGCTGAACTTATAGCTTTCTGATGTTAACATCAACTATAAATTCCAATATAGAATTCTTTTTTTAGCTCCAGCATTTGTGTTCTTAGGCTTATCTTTTTCTTTCTACTGATTTTGTTAGGGAGAAAAAGAGAGAAGGGGGGAGGGGGGGTTCCTGTAATTCAATATCTGTTGGTAGGCTTCTGAGTTTTACTTTTCCTTTACAGTTCCAAGGCACGCTGATTTTAGCTTAAATGTTGAAGAGATTGCACGTACTGTTGAACTTGAGAAACCAAAATGCATATTTCTTACTTCCCCAAACAATCCAGATGGGAGGTAAGTGACAAGTAGGATATAAAATTATTTTGTTAATATATTCCATACACTACAGTTCTTAGTGGAAACAGTGATTTTGTGTGTTAATATGGCACATTTGTCAAAAAAATAAACCTTTTTTTAAAAAAAATAAAAATGAGTACTTTTGGACTTTTACAATTCTATATTGTACAGGTACAAACTTTTAGGTTCGTATTATAATTCTGTTTGATAAGTGTATTTCGGGGAGAATGCTTTTAGATTAGCTTTAGGGTGACAGGACACTAATATTTTGCGTGGGTGGAAGTGGACCTACCAAAATTCTAAACGACTAAACTTAAAGTATTAGAAAATAGAAAGCAAGAAATATGTGCTGTTAATTGGTAAAACTATGGCATGTTCTTGGTAATTTTTTTGGTCTAATTTATGTCTAGTGTTTCCATCTAGTATGGATTTAGAATTGTTGTTGATAACTGGTTCTCGATCAACATTGAATAGCTGCGCTGGATGGGATAGTATATTATATTTAGTACATTTCTGGATAACATATTACATTCTCAATCTATTAAGACATGTAGGAGATAATTACTTTCAGCTATATGCTAAAGAGATAACTTGGTGAACTGATGTGCTTTGTCATATTGAAAAGAGAGATCATTGTATATTTTTTTAGTTTGTGGAGTGAGCTTGATGTGTAACGAGTTCCAAATCTTTGCTGATAAGTAGTCTATCGTTCTTGTTTGTACATGTTTTGTGTGCTATTAAATGAATGCTCTTTCTGCTTTAAATGTCTAACTTTTACCTTCATAACGTAACTTCAAGTGCAATTTACTGACAATATGCTTTTTATATGCATTTCATGCAGTATAATCAATGACGAAGATCTGTTGAAGATCCTCAATCTCCCTGTACTGGTCATATTGGATGAAGCATATGTTGAGTTTGCAGGACTTGAATCTCGTATGAAATGGGTGAAACAATATGAGAATTTGATTGTTCTTCGGACCTTCAGCAAAAGGGCTGGTATGTTAATGGTTAACTTTTTCTTTTACTTAATTCTTGCAGAAGTTCACTCTTCTAAAACACTCAAGTTTTATTTGTACACCCTTTTTTGATTCTCACTTTTAATGTTTTTATTTAATCAATGTTCTTGCAATGTTTCATTTTTTACGGACGGTTCCTTATGACGATTTATGTTAGCCAACCCAAATCATTATGGGACTAAGGCTTTATTGTTGTTGTTATTCATGCAGAAGTTGTTGGAGACAAAAAAAACTTAATCCCAATTTCATTAGTCTCTATTTCTACTTGTAAAGTGAACCTATAGTGTCTTATAAGTTATTTGATTCATCAACAGGGTTAGCTGGCCTTAGAGTGGGATATGGAGCATTCCCTTCTAGTATTATTGAATATCTTTGGAGAGCAAAACAGCCCTATAATGTATCTGTAGCTGCTGAAATAGCTGCTTGCGCTGCATTGGAAAATCCTACTTATCTAGAAGTAAATTCTGTTGCTCTTTCTACTGTTTTCCTCGACTTTATCTCTATTTTATTAGTAGATCTCGTTTTGTTCCAGTCATTTTTGCTAATATTTAGCCTTCTGTCAGAATGTCAAAGAGGCTTTGGTCCAAGAACGTGAGAGGCTTTATAAGCTTTTGGAGGAAGTTCCATTTCTTAGACCCTTTCCAAGCCACTCCAACTTTATTCTTTGTGAAGTTACCTCCGGAATGGATGCCAAGAAGCTCAAGGTACCATCACATTGCCCTTTTTCTTTATTTTTGGATACAGATGTAAAATGTGTTTGTAGCTTACTAGTCACCAATCACCATATCTTGCTTTGTGATAGTAGTTACTCCATCCATTTCAAATAATAGCCCACATTTCTATTCAATAATAGGCCACAATCTGTATCTAGTAATCTATATCTAGTTAGCTGATATATTTATTAACCTTAATTCCATTAACAAAGTTACACATTAATTAAAATCTAAAAAGCCTGGAGTTGCAAAAACATACACAGAATAATAGTTGTATTTTAATTCAATTCTTTGTAAACGACCTTCTAAGTTCTAACCATTGATGCCTATAACTTAGACAATTTATCTGATAGCCTGAACAAATGTGTTTTGTCTCGTATATTAAACAGGAGGACCTTGCTAAGATGGGTGTTATGATCCGTCACTACAATAACAAGGAAATGAAAGGTTATGTTCGTGTATCTGTTGGAAAGCCTGAGCACACTGAGGCCTTAATGAAGTGTCTTAAACAATTCTTCTGATGTATAACCATCTTAGATTTGTCAGTGGAGTACAACATTCTTACCAACCTGATTTTGTTATTCCTCTGTAACAATTCTGATTCTTGTTTCAGTCAGAAACTGTTGTGATTATGATTTTTTTTTTTACTCTCGAAAGGCATCTCAAATATTTAAATTGAACTCGTCTATCTTGCTGGTGTTCTTATTCTTTTTCTGTCAAATATGATATTTTGATACTAATCAATAGAGTCGTCATCCCTTGTCTACCCTTTGGTGTTCAAATCTGGTTCCGGTGCCACAATTTATGAGTCATGACCTCCTAAATATAGGATTGTCCTCATAAGACAAGTTTATCTTAGGATTTACATCTCGATATCATTTCACAATCGCCCTAACTAGATATGGGGGTATCGAAGATTAACCAATACTCCCTCCATCATCCTCGTCCACAAGGTTACCACCAGAAAAACTAATCTTTCTGTATTGCCTAATTAGCATCCTTGTTAACATTCCCTCTAAACAAAGGAAAATTTAACAGTTCCTCTAAACAAAGAAAGCATAAGATATTTATTTAACTTGTAAGTAACATTATATTAAACAAGTTGTTACCCAAACATATTTGCTGGATTAATGCAACCTTTACCACATATACAAATTATATGAATAAATGTCCCTTTCCTTTGTGAATGCTCGCTTTTCTGCTGTTTATAGCAAAAAGGTATTGCGTGACTTAACCTCTTCACCCTTCATCTCCATACTCTTAATTATTTAACCTTTAAGTTCTTGCTTTTCACGTATTCTTTTCCACTTATTAGAGAAAAGAGAGTATTTTACACTACAAAGCTACAATATTACCAGTCCTATTCAGTTTCTGTTAGCTTCTGCACCTTCAAGTCTGAGGGCATGCTAATATAATCTATTTGTTCGTTTCGACGTCTGAATATGTGAGTCCATAAACCAAGCCTAAGCCTTTTTGCTACAACACCTAGAATCCTCTGTTTTCGTTACCAGACATTGCATAGGATATATTGCAAACATGTTTCTAACATGTTTCATGTCCTTTAAACCGTCTTTTTCCGATGAACTAGCTGTTGGGCTGTTTTCTTCTATGGTTATTGATCTGCAGCGGCTATTGAAGTCTCTGGAAGATAATCCTCTTTCTCTTCGATGGTGTAGCGAGGCCATGTCTGTCATCAAGAAGACTCATTCTCATTTCCTGTTTGATTTCGAGAGATCTAAACTTCCCACTTCATGGGAAGCTGTACATGTGCTTGATGAATATATGAGTGTAACTTTGGATCTCTTGGATTTCTGCAACTTACTTAAGTCAGCCATTTCGGGTTTAGATAGGTATCGACAGTTGATCAACTTCATGATTAAGAGATTGAAGGATGCCACCTTTTCAACGTCGACAAGTAAGATCGAACTCGAGAGGCTTGAAAGAGATAATTATAGCAAGTTTTTCGACGTGAAGAATTTGAGAGAAATGAACCTTAACAAGGAAGAAGTTACTAAAGTGAAGTTGAAGACAAGGACCAACATGCAAGTTTTGCAAGCTATTGGGAGCACAATGTCTATTATTTCATTGTTCATCTTTTGCTCAATTCTTCATCCAATTCACGTTGAAATCGACGAGGGAATCTATACTGATTTGTGTGATTCGGATTCATCCTCGGGTTGTGTCCAAAAACTCATCAATTGTCTAAATGAGAAATTTAAAAACGCGCATGATTTGAGGAGGCCAGTTTTACACGAGAATGAGGTGATTGAGGATGCATTTGCCGAATTCAAAGGGCAGATTATTTCAACTAGGGAATCAAGTGTTGATGAAGGGAAATTAACAAAAAGTTCAGAGATTTTAAAGAACAAATCTCTAGTTCTCAAGGAAGGGCTAGACTTGCTTGAGAGTGAAGTTAATGAGTTGTTTGAGAATGTTATCGAGGGAAGAAAAAGAATTATCAGCTTAATTACCAACTAATAATCACACGATTTAGAAAATTAGCACTAGATTTGCCTTAAAACAAATATGGACTATAATTTCTATTTTCTATTTTTTGTATTTTGTGTGTGGATATGATTACCTAAGGAAGAGATGATTTCCACGCATATTAGCAAGGACTTTCATTCTCTTTATTCTACTTTGCCCCATTTGGCTATTTTACTGCTTCACTTCATTGTTTGTTGATTAAACTTGGTTTGGTTCATTGAAACATTAACCTTTGTGGTTAATCTATGAAATATGCCTATCTTCAACATCAATTGTGAATACATTCGTGATACTTAGTCCAAATTTGGTTTCAATTAAGGTTAATCCAATCTTAAGCAAATTGAATTAGGCTATTTTTTACCTAATTAATTTAATTTAAATAGCTATTACGCCTACAAACAAGAAAAGGTTTGGTTGTGGAATGAATAAGAAAGTCCTTATATAATAATTTGGTCTTTCACATGGCTAATAGCTAACAATAATTCAACGCAAGGGCGAAGCCACGAGGGGGGCTGGTGGAGGCCTGACCCCCATGGCCCAGCAAACAATGTCATTTATATTTATACTTGGCCCCCTGAGTTATTACTAATTATAAATTATGTTAACTATATAATAACATACATGTTGCTGGTGGCGCATCGGGTAGTTTCATAATATGACCAGAGCACTATCACAGAAGCAAAAAATGACACCAATTATATTATTTTGAAAGAATATTGACACAAACTTGTAAATCTTCTAAATCAAAGAGTTAATTAAACGTACATTCGCCCCAAAAAAAAAATGATTTTCCATTTGCATCTAACCATGCCCAAATTATTTCATTTCAATGCTTAAATATGGTCTTGTTATCATATTTTAAATTTTGAAAAAACATCTGACACGTGTTTTTTTTTTTTTTTTCCTTTTTTGGGAACATGAAGTTCATACCAACGTAAAGACTAAAAAAAGGTTAGTGGAAGAAATTGTACCTTGATAAAATTGTGAAGTTTGTTTGCTTAGATTTCCATGGAATTATTACCCCACATCAATTGACAGTTAAGGTGCAACTCATGCTCCTGCTTTTACGACCCCACTTGACAAATATAGATACAACCCATGCTCCTAGAGATGCAAATTAATTAAGATAACAAAAATCCAAAGCAAAAAAAGTTGTTCCAATAATCTTGTGAATAGTGAGTGAATATATACGAACCAACATCAATGTATTAATCTAAAAATGTTTCCAAAAGCTAGAATACACTGTAAATGACCAATCAAAAAATTTTGCCCAGGTCGTATTGTCCCTAAAAATACATATGGCACCAGTAGTTTTCTCAAAATCAATATTAGAGTTACATGAGTATTGGATGATGGCTCGTCTACCATCAAACATAGAATGAATTGGAATAAAATTAATACAAATGAGGAACTACAAAATGAACGATTCCTTCCATAGCTGTTAACCTCAAGTGTTTAGCTGCCCCGCCACTTTGGTCCAGCAGAACCATTGTTATCAACCACAATTATGTCCTCATTGAAAAAATCCAGTATACTGTATTGTACCGGCATCCACGATCTAATATGAAACTTGTGGGGAGCGATTATATTTTCCAAGAATGGCAAGGCACGTCCAAGCATAACGTACAGAAGAAAGTGGAAACTCACACTATGTGCAACACTGCTTCCCTTCGCCTACTCCGTAGCATCCCGTGAAGTACTATGCTTTTCATCGGACCTGTGGTGGAACAACTTTGCTATCTGTCGCCTCTCACAATCCTGCAAATCCCAAGCAACAAGATATTAATACTTCAATTATGTACAAAATCCTAATATTGGCTCTATTATTGCTTTATTTTGCTGGCACAGAGCTTTCAAACAAACATTGCTCACCTTGAACATGTGGAGATAAAATGTTTTGCTAGGATTTTTCTTTTTCAACTTCTGGTATGTAAACGCAAAGCTTAACTGATCTCTTGGAGTAAAACGGTCCACCTCATTAAACCATAGACATGAAAACAGATTTGACATTGGTGTGTGTGCCCTTATTATCAAAGACCCTTCTGGTACATCTGTTGCCAAAAGAAATAAAACCATTAAGGACAACAGATTAGATACCAATCCGAATTTATCCTGGACCAACCCAGACAAAAATTGTACTTTTTCCCACCAAAGATGAATGAGAAACAAAAAAGTGCATATGAACATACTGCTTGGAAGCATCTTTTCAGGATCAGAGGCATTAAATCTCTTAAGCCCGTCAGCCTGATAGAATTGAAATTGCTGATCAATCATAGTGTGGTTGAATTTATTAAGCTTCTTGTTCCGCTCCACTTCTTCCCAAACACAATGACGGTCATAGTGATTTGATATTGCATATTCATGACCCTTTCGCCACAAAAAGTGCTCCAATAACAACAGAGGATCGCGTTGGAGACGCAATTTGCTATCCAACCAAATGGAATACCTGGCAAGAGAGAAATGCTCAGAGACAGGCATTGAATTTATATTAAGGACATATCTAGCTATCAACCTACACACTAATTAGAGTAGCAATTCCGTGGATATTTTCTTCCAGGAAAGAGCAGTTTATTTTATCTATAGCTTCAGTAACATTTCACATCAGGCAGCCAGTACAACACATTCAGTAATCTAAGCCTCAAATTCTAGGGATACCCTTTTTAACTCCCTCACTATATCATTGTTGCAACACAAACCACTAGAACAGGTGCAAACCCTATATACAGTTTTACAGCACAAATCATTGGGACGATGATACAAAGTTATTCAAAAAAGAAACAGAAAGATGCCAATCATTTAAGCCAATCTCAGAATTCTACTTTCAGCAAGTACTTGTAAAGCTGTTTATCTACACATCCATTTTATCTTGTTCCTAGCTAAATATTTTATAAAATTTAAAGCACAGAAAATTTCAGAGTTTCCTAGTAAAAAGCACAATTATCTGAGGTAAGAATTGCAGCAGAGTTTGGATATAACCAACAAATTCCATCGAATTTTCAGTTGGATTACTTGCAAACCAGAAATTCAAAATTATCTCCAAAGACACCAACATCTTGGTCTTTACATTTTCAATATCCTTACCCCTGATGTTCTAATATAATGCCTCACCAAGTCACTTAAGAGTTTAAAAAATCAATCTGAGTCTCTTGTTTAGATGTGATTGTATCTTGCATGTGTAAGATCCAAATGCTAATGACACTG